GCTCAATCGCAGAGTATACAAGGTAGATTTTAAACAAATGATATCAAGTATTTTTACAATAAGAATACGGCAACATCGATCGTTTATGATTCTGTATCGAATTATTTTTTATTTGTTAATTCCCTTTTTTTAAAATAATACATTTATTCATTTTTCATTTTTTTTTTAATTATGTGTTGTACTTTTTCTGGCATGGCGAAATTAAGAGTTTAAGAAATTAACGATATTCACAACATGGACAAAAAATACAAGGTTCAATAAAATACAAGATAGAAACAACAGACAGATTTTTTAATCTTAATAAAACGTGAGAAGGCGTTAAAGGGGCTTTGACACAGATTTTAAATTAATATTTTCTAGAATATTCTGTAAACTAGAATAATTTATAAGTTGCATTGCACACTTAAATATCATAAAAGTGTGTATAGAAACTTCCTTTATCTGGATATTATTAAAACTACGAATTTTCGGGCACGTCTGATTGACACACATCTTTGAAATTTCACGAAGTAAACTGTATCTTTTATATTTAAGAAAAGTGGAAAATTTGTTGTGTATTAATGTAAAACATGAAAACTTTAATTCAGTCAGATTATTCAGAGTAGAAATGTGAGAAAGCAAAACCAACTCACCAGTATTGTCAATTCGTGCTCTATGATGAAATTGAACACTAACGGTAAAACGTAAACATTAACTATATTAAAGAGCTCATGTCCACGTTTACAAACGCAAGATGCATGACGTGAAATTATGAAGAATGTCGCTGCCATTAAATTTCAAGAATTTTTACAGAAGTTCAATTTACTAAAATGAATTTTTTTAACAATAAAAAAAACCCCTGAAATTTTAAACAAAACGGCGATGCAGCTATGTCCAGGCCTCTTTAACATACAAAAGAAATGTTCTTGATATAATTATATTTGTAAACACAAATTATATGCTCAGTAATCTCCATTAACTAAAAATACAATTCTCTATGTACAAAACTTTGGCGATAAAACGCTATTACAGCTGAACACAACTCGTAAATAGGCATGAGTCATTTTAGTTTTGCTATCTCCGATACCAGCACTGGGGTATACCCTTCACGTTCGTTATGTATAATTTAAGACTGCTTTCTTATTACGGGTACCTGCGTGGAATGGGCGACACGTGTTCGTGTTGGTTATCTTACATTACTCTGTTTAAATTTTATTGCAGTATACGTGTATTTGTGTTTATTGCACTGACCTTTGCAACTGATGTACGTTTCTTTAGTAAATTTCTCTTCTGTCGCGGAAGAAGTACACGGTTTCTCTTGTCGCTACCGAAAATTTTACAATAGTATGTAGAATACGCCCGTCCACAATTCGAATCCAGGTGAACGGCTTATATAGGGGCTGTACAGCTAACGCTAAATGCAGAGTAATATGGCGATCATAGATCTCTGCCTTTCAAGAATCGTGTTCAGCTTTAAGATGTATCAAACAAGTCTACGTGGATCGATCTAAAACTGAGTCGAGTTAGTTTCTTACTTAAACACGCTTACCGGGGCATTCATCTGTGACAATACAGATACACGTGACTAAATTTAAACATTCTAAATAGATTGGAGTATTCGAAAATTTAATGGCGGTCTACGCAAACGAGACAGTAGAGAAATCGTTAGTTAGGGAGGAAGAGAAAAGTATCTCACAGGTATATGTACTAGTTACTTTGTCTTACATCTTGAGAACCGAATGCACTGTTTTTGAATAAAAACACGTGGAATTCATGGTAATGTTGGTTATAATCTTGTAAGACCTGCCTTACACGAGAGCCGTGCAGCTAGCAAAAACTTAATTTAAGAATATGAGTCATGCCTTGCCGTGAGTACCGGCCCTAACAAAGATATTTTCACTTAACCTTTATACTCATTATATTTCGACCTTGATTTGAACAAATCTGCTCTCGATGCTTATGAAAGCTGTGAAGTACGCACCTGTTACCGATTTCTTTTGATATTCATGAAAATCTAGGGACCCCACCTTAAAAACACAGTTTCATATGATGGCTATAGATATTAATTGACATTTTTAGATGTTGACTCAAATGGTAAATCATCAATTAATAATGTACTTCTTAAGGTATTTCATGAAGATTCAAATTTTGACAAGGAAACCGGGAACCACAGAGCCTTACTGTGACTAAGCTTGTTTTATTTTATACAATGAATAAAAAACAAGCTTAAGACTTCTTTTTCTTAAAATAGAATATGGGATAATATGCAGCTTTTTGTTGTTGTTTTTTAAATTTTGGCATCATTTTTGCTAATGGGTTAATTAAAAAATAATGAGCACCAACTTGCATTATGACCATCAACTTGCATTCTAGTTAAAATTCCTAAAGTGACAACAGAATAGACAATTGTATAGTTTCAGATTTTCAGAAGTTTCAGAATTTTAATTAGTAAAACTTTATTTGAAAAAAGAAAATATTACTAATTCCTAAAAAGACTTTCCAAAATATATAAACAAAAGAAATTATAGTTTTTTATGCATCAAAATGGTGTCAGGGATATAAATGATTTGATCTAAACCTCGATTGAGTTTCTTCTCTTGTATATGTGAAAGAAATAGGTTTTTTAATTATTATACTACTAATTTTTTTTCAATTCTGAATTGAAATGTTTTAATATGAAAGAAATAAGATAGTACAATAAATTCCGCCAAATTACTTTTCAGTTCAATTTCAATTCTTTAAATCTAAGCCAAAAAAGAATTTTGATATGTAAGTTTTCTTACAAAATATACTAGATTTTGAAGTGATTCTATTTTACCTTATTGTGTTGCACTCCTGACATCTGATAAGTATTATATTAAACATTGCTTTAAAATCATAACACAATAAATCATTCAAAGTTTGTAGATTAGATCGTCATTTTGATATCTTTTATCATTAACGGCAAGTGTTTCCTATTTTCTAGACTTCAAAATATGATTATTTGCTTTTCTCCATATATTTCATTAGTAAAGATAGATGAAGTTCAAAAACTATTTATAAAATAGTTTTGTTGCTCTCCAGACTGCAGTAAAATTTAAATCATAGACTACAGAAATTCATAAAGTGTTGGCAACATTAAGTGGTACAGAAATTGTGCAATAATTTATTGTCCAATACTTTATGGTTAAACACATAAAAGAATTTAAACTTGGTCTCTATATCTTGAATTATTCCCTCTGTATGTCAAAAAAAAAAAAAAAAAAAAAAAAAAAAACCTAGTTAAATATATATTTAGAAGATAAAAGTATATTTATAGTATCTTTTCCTACACAGGACAAACACCGTAAGCAAATTGAGGTAAATAAGAAACATTCCACTCATCGATTGTTTCTTTTAATTTATTCATATTTGATCAGCAATAATTCAAACATTTTTGTTACACTCCTGACCGAGAGTATGCAGGTCTTAAAAGTAGAATTGTGAAGCATAAATTACATCAGAACTTGTTCTGTTGTTTCAGTGAAGTTGAGGTGGAATTAACTGAATTGTAAAACAATTTTTAAAATGCGTTTTTTTTATTTTCATAAAAAAATTCAAAGAAAAGCTAAACACTCTTCTGGATTGATCAAATTGAAAAAGAGACAGATTTTAATAATTAAACTGGCAATAATTTAGTACTAAATTATTCAAATAGATCATTATTTATTAAAGAATATTTCTTAGTTTGAATAGACGTTTTTTCGTCATGTAATTTGGATCTTAAATGAATGTGTTGAACTCCTGACCATAGAAATATAGATCCGAAACACAGACAGACCCTGTAATTGATATATCTATTTGGTAAAAATGTTTTTTGTGTCTGAGACGTAGAAATTTATTCCCTTTGCCTGTATTTTTCAGTGCAGGTTGATAAATATGTGTTTGGTCATTTCTTTTTAATTCCCCCTAAAAACACAGAGATAAAAGCTGGATCCGGTGAAAATAACCAGGATGGCAAGATGTAGCTACAATGTACCTGGAATTATGGTACAAAAATTAAATTGTTTTATTTTCGGTATTTAGTCCAGAAAAGTTTATAGCTATATACAGGTGAGCAATTCTGGCACCTGTGAGTCTTTTTAATGCATACACCTGGGTGAACCTAGGTTTTAAATTTAAACATGTCCATATATTTTCCCCAAATAGTGATCGTTTATTTTATGATATTCATTTACATTGTATCTTAGGCTTAATTGTAGCTTTATTATTATTTTGGTTGTTATTCTATTTTGCAAAATTAGAAAATTAAGTCACAGAAAAAGTAAAATATTAATGTATGTATTATACATTGTATAATATACAATTTGCGTTTCTACTGTATTTCAAATAGTGTTGTTTTCTGATAATCAGAGATAATTTTTTCTTTATAAGGAATCCTTGGCTATATCACATTCATATACCAGTATAACGTATTGTAATTGGTCTACATAGGGTGATATTATACTGAATGTACTGACGATTTTCTGCAATATAATTTATCCAAATATTGCCACTGAACAAAAAACTCCAATTGTTATAAAAGAATATCTTATCAAATATATGTCTTACTACATAATGTAGATTTTATAACATTTTTTCTATTTGATAATGTGGATGACTTGTATTTTAAGCCATAATATTCGGCACAAAACGCACTTAAAGGCAGAAAACCAAGTAACATTATGTCTGAATTTATTTCAAAAATTTCAAAATTTCAAAATTCAAAATAGGCGAATGCTGTTTATAATGCATTCATTAATAAACTTCATATAAAGAAATATCTCGAGTTCATTTTACTAAAAGGTACTAAAATGGCTGCAAAATATTTCATAGACGAGTCACAATTGATATCAATAAACAAAGGATTCTGACTACTAGGAAGTTTGATCATGTTGAAGACAATGCAATCTTTCAAAAACAAATCATTCTAAAATTGAATGTTTTTTTCTGTTCTGTAAAAGACGATGTTTTCATTTTTGTTATAGCAATATTTACATATTTACAGCTACAAGAGTGCAATAATGTCTGGATCTTTGGATATCAACTTTGGCTTGGACCTTATTCGAGCATCAAAAGCTGAATATGACTTTCTTATTGAGGTCCAACGTTTAGAATACCTTAGAAACGACGCAGTGCTGCGATATTCCATTTACAGATACGAAAATTTTTGGCTTCCACTTGCTGCTTCCCAAAATGAAAGCACCTTAAAACTTAAGTATTTACATCCACCAACTGACATAGAATGGGTTTGGCACTGTCATATGTTAGCACCACATAGATATGCAGAAGATTGCATGTTACTGTTTGGAAGAGTCCTTGATCACTCTGTTATGAAGTCACCAGCTGGAAAAAAACAGACAGAGAGGATTTGGTCCCGGGCTTATCCTACTGAAAAATTTGAGTTAAGCCCAGAAATTAAAAATAGAAAGGTACCTCGTTCAATAGAACAATATAAATCAAAATTTACTTTTGATCTGTTGGCAGCTATCCATCGACAGCAGGATTTCTACTATAACATCCATCTGCCACACTACAAAGACGACCAGTTTCTTAGGGATGCCTTTGTAAGATATAAGTTTTACTTAAATCTTAAGAAGAAATACCCGAGCGAATTCTTAGTGCCTTGTTATGATATTGATTTGCTTTGGCACACACATCAACTTCATCCAATCAATTATGCAAAAGTAACAAAATCCCTTCTTGGTCGTATCCTCGTCCATGACGACACGGTAACCGACAGGAGTCCAGGATCCAAACTATCTGTGTCGGATGAAAATACAAGAAGGCTCTGGATAGAAACATACCATGAACATTTTTCTAAATTTGGTGCTATGTACCGAGGCGATTCTCCAAGGGGTAAACTTTATCACCTTACACAGCAGGATATTGAAAAAATGTGTGGAAGAAGAACTGTAGTCACTATTCAGGAAATATCAGTCATGTCGTCAAACGCAAATAAAGATAAAAAGATCAAGTTGAAAGTTATCAAGAGGCATATCATGTCAGGGAAATCTACTCTGATTAAAAAACTGACAGGAACAATAGAGAACATGACGTGGGGTCAGCAAAAAATAATGTTTTCATTTGGCCCCTATGATTCCACACTTGTTTTTGAGCTGAAAACAAGAAACAGCATATTTGGAGGAAGATCCAAATTCATAGGGGGGTTTCAAGAAAGATTTGGTCTTTACCTCATCCGTCCCGAGTTACAGGAAGGTGGCCAATTTCAGTTTGAAAGGGACATGCAAGTAGTGAGCACATTGGCTAAAGCAAGCTGTGTGGTAAGAGGATTTTTTTTGCGAACCGTTTTAGATGACATTGTGCTTTCTTTGGAGCCAGGGAGATACGAACAGGCAAACATGCCAACAAATGAAGAACAACTTTGGGGCCCCGTTCCTTTGCCAAAGTCTAACGCAGTAAACATTTGCCAGGTAGCTTCTCACAGGTAAAGTATTTAAAAGCATTTACTTGTAAATTAAATGATTGTGTTTCTTGGTTTATATTACTTCTCTTATTATTGGATAAATTATGTTTTTCTTTTGATTGAATTTTAATTTTGCCCATTATCAACCGTGCTTCCTCTTCCTTTTATAGTTTTTTATTATTATTTTCGTGTTATTAACATGAAATGGGAAGGTAACAAACATCAATCATGCTTTAAATTTATTGGAAAAATAAATTTTGGGCGCAGAGCAAACACCTCTAAAACATTAGAGACTGGATCAGGTGCCATGGAGAAGTGGGTATTCCCTGCGACGGGTCACACCCACCATGTGGTCTTGAACATGATCTGATAAACGGAAAACTCCGCAGTCAATTCAGTGTGAAAATAATGGCTTAATTCTGATGAAAGTTATCAGTCAACATTCATCTTAACGATGGAATTTTTCACTTATATTGAAACGCCACCACCTGCCGGTGATGGGCTCTAAATTTAGACCTGTACTCGGTACTTAAGGCTTTTAAGCAAAAGGGGATATTTTTCATGCCAGCACCTATTGTGACACGAACCCTTGGTTTAAACAGTCGCATCTGAAGGATCGATCTTCACGTCCCGCAGTAGGATTCGAAGCCGCGATGTAAGGATCAACTCTTTATTCCGCGACTCTGAAGTTAAGGCTCTAAACATTGCATCACGCGGGCGACAACGATAAATTGTAGTTGCAAACAATGTCATTGATTCGATCTTAGAATATGTCAAATGTTGACGTTAAACGAGATTCTTAATATCTTGTATCCTTTTATCATCAACTTTCTTGTCAATAACCTGCCTCTTTTGAGAAATTGATCGTACATAGAATATGCACTTGCGTATAAAATCAACTCTGAGACATAAACCTAAATAAATTTACAGGTGATAATGATATATTGCATAAATAAGCGAAGTTGACGATAGAGATGTTGAAATAATCAACATTATCATAAAGTTTAGTTGTTTGTTTTGAAACACCCTAGACTATTCAGACTGGTGCTTTACTCCGTGTGTTTCAAATTGAACCTAAAATGTACAAGTCACTAATTGTATAATGCACACCAATCCAGATCATAGCCAGTGCTGGTTATAAACCTGTTTTCTTAAATTTTTCGTTCTTTTTCGTGGCTCTGTAAATTATTTTAAAAAATAAAGGAACGAGAGTTTGAGGAAAACTGGTTTTTAACTCGCACTGTTTATAGAATCTATTTGATTTGAACAATATTGTATGTTTCAACAAATGATAAAATTAAATTGTAATTTTTGTATTTTTATAGGCTGAGAGACCAGAACGGAAACATTATGTTTACTTGTCGTTTAATACACAGCGTAAACGTTATGACGTCAGTTGTTCAAGTGTACTATCATGACAAAATGGCTGCAATTGCTCATGTTATCGGTTCTGATCAACTACCATTGGGAAAACAGGTAGGCTGAACACATCAAGGTGATTTTTAGTCAATTTTCCATTTTCAGCTAGGAAGCTCTAAACACCAAATAAAAATGATTTTCGGATTTTGAGAAAATTAAATCATATAAAAGAGTATACATTGATATATGTTGTTTAAAGTCCCATTCGGAAAATTTTCATATAGAGACGTCTCCATATACCGGTGACGGACTTCAAAGAGCAAGATTCACTTTGTGCTTAAAATTGCCCTGTTAATATACAAATTTATTGACTAACCCTCTATGGTCCATTTCAAACATCAAAATAAAGTAGAGACTTTCAATACTTTCATTTCCTATTTAAAAGTTTTTCCTGAAAGTCCAAGTATTGGAAAACAGGCTTTATGAAATTGCAATGTTCTTGAATTTACGGAAAACGGGTTAATCTTAGTATTTTCAGCAAAGAAAAAACTTTGAGCGCACTCCTTGATCCAAAAAATAAAACATGTTTTCCTCAGAAATAGTTTTATTATTTAATGATTTCATATTTTAGATCATAGGTTGCGTTCTACACGAAATATTGAAAAATTTTCGTGATATGTGAAAAATGACGCTATTCATGACGACATAATGCATTGACTAGCCAGAAAATTACGTCATTTTGGATAGGTTTGCTGTCACCAAGGGTCTAAATAATATTTAATGCATTTTTAACTAAAACTAAGCAATTTCACTTTTTCAGAAATTCACAGGGCCAAAAAAGACCCTAAGTGAACCTTGTTCTTTAGACCTGTACTTGGCACTCATGGCCATTTAACAGAGAGGGTTCTTTTATCGTGCCAACGCCTACCGTGATACGGGACTTCTGACTTTAAAATCTCATCCGAAAGACCCGTGACTTTCACGTGAACTGCCGGGCATTTGGCGAAGGAACTTACTGCCTATGTTTTCGTCTTAGGTTTGACGAGGCACGGCTTATGAGAGTCGGACTTCGGCCTCCCGATCACGAAGCGAACACCCGACCATCAGCCCACCGTAACTGGTTTAAGGAGTATATAAAGAGTTTATCAAATTTATTTTAGACATTTGGTAGCTGCCTAGTTTTTCAGGAAGTCACTGTTGTTTACTTACAGTGATAAAATACATGTTAATGTATTTAATTACATTATCTTTGTATAATGTGTAATATAAAAAAAGTACTTGAATCTTTTACAAATTGAATCATGAATTATTTATTTCCCTTTATTTTATCTTACATCTAAGGGCAGATTACTGTGTAAAAATTCCGAACAATAGGAATAAATTAGGTGAGGTGTTTAGAGCTCCCTTAAATTACAATTATTACCAAGGAAATTGACATATGTGGACTTGTAAATTTTATACCAGTAACAAGTGTCTTCTTTAGGAGTTCAATATCATGATTTTTTTTAAAATTATATCTTATAAAGGTGGGTGTAAAAAACATTACATTGGACCCAGGTTCTGGTGAAAGAGCGATTGTTATCAAAGCCGAAGAGGGAGATTCTCTAATTCTCGTGGGGAAGTGGAATGGATTTTTCAGGGGGATTCCTGGAAGTCGAGGTTATATATATATATATATATATATATATATATATATAGTCACATTATTTCATATTCAAAGTAGAAGATTTCAAAATTGAAATATATAAAGCGTTTGTTTAGGCTAGGCGTTTCATTGCAAATGAGCTAATACAAATGCATATTAACTGGTATATCTATTATACATGGAAAGTTTAAATTCATTTATATAAATAAATTCCTAGTACCCACATGTTATCGCCAGTACTCATTATGACGTCATATTATGATGTCATTATTCTTTACTACTTGTAGTAAAAAACTTATCAGGTAAACAGTTTCGGCTCAAGGAGAAATCCTATTTAATTTTGCGTAAATATTGTATAATGCTAAGAAGAATTTGAAGAATCTAACACAGGACTCTCAATTTTTCCATGTTTGAAAACTTAACAAAGTGTAACTAAACAATGCAACTGTCAACATTTATGCAGCAATATTATCAACCCTTCTAAGTATACCCTGTTTCTGTAAAATTATTTTGAGTTTGCCCTTGCGCCAAAACTATTTTGATGATGTACTTTATAATCTCGTACAGTAAGGAACAATGGCGTCATAATGTGTACTGGCTTTCAAATGTTGAGGGTACTTACTATTTAATAGAAAAATGAATTTTTACCTTCTTTGAATAATTAGTATAACCATCATATGTTTTAATTACATGTAGTTCATTTGCATAGAAACACCTATACCTAACCTTAACTCACTAGCGAAATTTTGTCTGTTTAAAATCTCCTTTTAGGCAGAAGAGGAGTTCCGGGAAATCCAGGTCATCTGCAAGTTAAAGTCTATAGAGTGGATCATACAAGTCCTCCAAGAAAGCAAATTATCAATCTTTCAGAACACCATCCAGTAGAGTTTGAGGGACTAAAGCTAGATTTCACTCAAGGCTTAATAACTTGCAGCAGGATAGCTGCTGGACAAGTTCTAAACTATGTTGCCCTGTCATTTTCCATTGCTCTTCTCCACGTGCTCTGTGTGCCACGTCCTTCCTACTGGCGACCTGGAATGTCTTTAAAACCTAGGGTAGCATCTAGAGGTACACGAAAAATTGAAAGATTTCCAGACGAAAATATGTCGTTTATGCAGGCAGCCGGTCTTCGATATCTTACACCCTCTAATCACTACATTTATCATACATATGGTGCTAACGTTTGTGCTGGTTGTGGTGCTGGGGGCATTGTAAATGAAACTGCTGGTGTAGGATTTGAGCAAGGTCTTTGCGTCATTAATTCAGATGGAGGTGATTTTGGTGGTGGTGGTGGTGGCGGGGTGAGTGATGGGGGTGCTGGCTGCGGAGGATGTGGTGGCTGCGGAGGCTGTGGTGGAGGAGGTGGTTGTGGTGGTGGAGGAGGTGGATGTGGTGGTGGAGGAGGTGGATGTGGTGGTGGAGGTGGATGTGGTGGTGGAGGAGGTGGATGTGGTGGTGGTGGTGGCTGTGGCGGAGGATGTTGAGGCAAAAACTTATTGTATTTGAGAAAATTAGTTTCATTTGTTATCAGAATCTACCTGTGAAGAAAAAAATGGGTTCCATGTTTATCACAAGGATGTATTATATGAAAAGGAAAATAATCAACAAATACCCGAATATGACGAGAGAGCATAATATTTTGATTAAAACTTTTTTTTCGATCGTGATAGGAACAAAATGTGCATGTACATGAGAAATTCTTAAGAAAATATTTACAGTTTAAGTACAGATTTGTAAATGCTTATACAGGAATTTAGTGGACAGAAAGCAGTGTTGTTCAGAGATTCTAATGCTAAAGTATAATTTTTACGAAAATTCTATTAAAACAAGGGTATCTGGAGTAACTTTTTTTTATATGGACTTTTTGTAATGAAAATGTTTTACTACAGTCCAAATCTTGCAGGAATTTTGAGCTGAGTGGAAATTGCGAGAGAAATCATATATTATAGCAACATGCACACTCAAAAGTCTACTTTTTCAGTGACTTTTTTCTGTAGCTGTTCGTTATCTCCATACAGTGTATATTTCATTACAGACAGACTGATGACGGACGCCCTATGATCGCAAAAACATACTTTTAATAATAAATAAATTTTCAAATAAAAAATGCTGGTTCTTTTTATCCGTCTTCTAAAGGTGGTACAGACGCAGTAGAACGTTTTCCCCAATGTCAACATTTTTATGCAGGTGTACGTTAGGGAAGTTTTTTCTCGCCTAAGTTCTTAAAATCATTCCTAGGTGTAATTTTACTTTGTTTGCATATTCCTTTTAAAAAAAGTGGCAACTACCTACCTGAATATCAGTCGTACAGACAGCTTTTATATCTATGAGGCGCCGTTTTGGTATTTACTGCCAAAAAGTGATATCACCTATTCGAATAGGTGATATCACCTATACGAATAGGTGATATCACCTATTCGAATAAGTGATATCACTCATTCAAATTGAATAGGTGATATCACTTATTCGAATAGGTGATATCACTTATTCGAATAGGTGATATCACTTATTCGAATAGGTGATATCACTTATTCGAATAGGTGATATCACCTATTCGAATAAGTGATATCTCTTATTCAATTTGAATAGGTGATATCACCAATTCGAATAGGTGATATCACCTATTTGCATTTCTTACAACAATAGATAATGAATGCTCCCTTCCTCAAGACTATCTAGATTTCCATTGGAACCAAGCAAATTCGGGCTGCATTAGGGTCTCTAAGTCTCGTCACGTGACTCGTGAGATTTTTCGATAATATTAACTTCCGGGTACCTCACACATGGAGATGTGTATTGGGTTATGCATGTTTATGGTTTACACAAAGCGTATAAGGAAAGTTTAAGCAGTTGTACAAAGCCGAAGGGTTCTCCGACTTACGATGGATAAATTGAGTGTCATAAAAGCTTGGGTGCGAGCAAGTAGGAGGAGAACTTCGATCGAAGTACAGGTAAACAAGTCAGAGAATGTCACCTGTTTCTTGTGTATTCTTGGGTAAAACAGAAGTCTTATATAATACATTTGTATCTGATTAGAGTAGTTTTGTTATCATCATTCCAACTGATTTATTAACAGATTTTTCTTGAATTCGAGGATAATAATGTACTACCAGCTGATTAAGGAGGAGTAGTGTAAGTGTCAGATGGGTACGAACGTCATCTTATGACTGCCTCACCTTTGTTTGGGTAAATAATTTGTTCAGAATACGCTTCATTTATCAACAAAAATTAAGCTGTGGGTCTAGTTTTTTAAGTATTCAATGTTTGAAAGCACTTATCAGGTCCAGTACAATCTCTTGATTTAGCTATATACATGTAGCTTTATTTTGCTATTCAGAATAGCTTAATTTAGCTATTTTATCACACTTTTTTCTTAAATGTGTAATTTTCTCAGCATGTACAAAAAGTCGCACCTTGGTGCAGTGATGACATTCAACCTTGAACTCACCTGAAATTGATGCATGTAAAAATCACTCATTAAAATCTCCTTGCATACATACATGTGATAATTTTTAGGCCCAAATACTGTACGGCAGTCCTCAAAATACTGGAATTTGGGTGAAAATACTGTACATTGTTCTAAGAGCTAATGCTATGGCCATTTGTGCGGTGTGCGTAAACTTTTTAGAATATGGGCCATAACTCAAGAACCCTTTGGCCAATTATTGTCAAATTTGTCAAAGGGTATCCTTGGGCCAAGGGCTTCCATTTGTACTAAAACTAGGATTGTGACCCTTAAACAAGGGGATATTATTAGGAAAATAGAAACAAAAGAGACTTTGTACTCAAAGTTCTAAAAGTTTTTGGGCTATATAATGCAATTGATACAGTTACTTCTTCAATGAAATTATAAAGGAGACCAATTATGGTCAACAAGATAATTGATTGGTAATAATTCAGTACAATGAGAAGCAATCATACTTATCCATGCCTCAATGCACACAAGTTAGTGTACAGTTACTCAAACAATAGAAATTTATCTTTTGCTTAAAAGTATTCAAAAGTTGCAAAGTTGGAGCTATCTTTGATTTTGCGTGTTGTTTCGATAGCCCATAGTACATATATGAATAGTCAAATACATGCGACTTTTTGTCTATTTCTTACAAAAATAATTTTTGTGAAAAACTGCATATAAAGAGCTAAATCAAGCTATTTTGAATAGCTTAATAAAGCTATATAGCTATTTCAAGCTATATAGCTAAATTAAGAGATTGTACCTGAACCTGCTTATTTCCCAGCGATAAGACTTTCTTTATATATTCTGCAAATTCTCTCTGCATTTATCATTGAACAAAATTCATATGACTGCATTTGTATGACCATATTCTTCAGTTAAGAGAGCATGTTATAGAGGAGATTTTGGTTAAAGTTTCAGTCTGTTTCAGTGTTTGAAATATTCTTTCATCATACACAATTGTATACATTAAGATTTATTTTATAGCTAAGTACAAGAGAACTGCAGCATCTAAGACTACATGTACATCGACTTTGAATAATCTACCCGGTATATCCTCAGAAAGGCAACTCAAATACAGGTATGAAATTGATGTCACAAAATAAGTTTTAGGACTTACATTTACTCTTATAATTCATGTACATGTAAAGCATATCAAAAATAGAAAAGAATTAAAGGTTCATCAGCTGACAGCTCAATCATGTATGGATTGTTATTAACGCCGAGTTTCCAAATGTCAAAATTAAGGGTATTCGATATATTCCATACAAGTTGTCAATCATTTATAAGTGATTTGTACAGAGGTTTATTTGCATATAAATGTTGTTAACATTGTTTTATTGTCTTTATTAACTTGTAATACTAAATTTTATAAATTGACAAATTCATTCTTTTCAGAAGGTGCATATAATATGGAAAAGAGACCATCAATCCACTGGGGGGGGGGGGGGGGGGTATCGCATGAAAGCAATATATGATTATAGAATATTGTAAGGCTGAAGGAGTTATACTACAACAGGCAGGCAAGTAATGGTACTTTGTTCTGGAAATATTTCGCCCCAGTTAGGTTTTTTTTTTCTCATTCTGCCCTCCTTACAAGTAGGTGAATTTAAAATAGCATATGGAGAAATGATGTACAGTTTATTCATGAGGTTGCTTCCACGTGATTTACATCTCATTAATATTCAAAAAGATCTTGCATAAACTCGAAATATTCCATTTCTTTAAATTTTTATACTAAAACCTGCAAGCACAGTTTGTTTTGTTTTTTAAGCCTCCGTCATAGTTATTTGGGCAGAATTTTGGGTTATTAACAATTGACAACTCATGAAACCATCTTTTATTGGTAATAAGTAGGTCACACTCATGCAAAAAATTGCCGTTTTCAAATTAAAAAGGCAGTCGTAACTCTTCATGAAATGATAAATCATCTGTATTTTATAAAAATAGGCATTCGTCTGCACCTATTAATCGGCGGAAGAAGTCTGTCAACTTGCAATTAACACTTACATTTAATCACCAAAAATGATAAAGACACCAATTCTGTGCTCTTTCCTTCATTAAAACAATATACTCTCGCTTCGGAATTTCAAATCAAAAAGGCGGTCGCAACTTTCACTTTGGCATAAACAATATTGTCATTTCCGGTGGAAGATATTAAGAAAAATCTAAACATCGGCGGAAGAACTTTATCCGAAATAGTTAGGATATAAAAATCTGCGGGTTTTTGTTCGTTCTCTACATAAGCCTTTATGGAAACTGTCGCCATTATAGCTCCAATATGGCCGATATGTAAATGAGAAGAATGAACGCCATTTCTCCATATGGGACAAATTCGAAGAAAGCAGCATATATCTTTTAAACACAAATGTATCTGATCAAATTTTAAAGGGCAAAATTGTTTTCAAGGGTGAAAGAGTGAATATTTTAAAAATTAGAATGGGGTGAAAATATCCAATAATACAGGTTATATGTATTAACACAGTACATATGCATTTCTCTTTTCTTTATAATGAAAATAATTTGTTCTGTAAAAGGACAAATTTTATTCTGATTTGTATCAAATAAATATGTGCCAGATTTATTATTTTGCAGGCACCTAAATTACCATCAGTTGTGCAAAAATTCTATGTCATGTTACAGAATCTTTCTTACATACAGGTATATGTCTGCCCATCTGGCAATCTTAGGACATCACTGGATGGTTTTGTTTAAAAAGAAAACAGAGTCAACACACACTTCCAGCATGAAGACCAGCCAGTTGCTATTTGTAGAATAAAAAATGATTATTCTTTGAGTGTGTGTGACCATTTTTATTTCTGAATAGACAGGGTAGCTCCAGAATGAGCTGACCTTTTTTATTTATTGTAGTAATTAAATTAAAAAAAAGAAAAGAATGTGTTTTCTACAAGGATCATGTGTTATCGAGTGGTATTCAACTTTGTATTCCCATGGTCGATGCATTTGGGTACATCTATTTTTTATTTGCTTTCAATGACATCGCATTCAATATCCCAATCTCATGTATAC